TTATAATTAACTATAGCAAAAACTAAAACTTCAATTGTGCATTACTTTAACTAAAACTAAAACTAAAACTGCACACTTGTAACTAATTAAACAATTGCAGTATAATTAAGAGGTGTAGCCACTAATAGCTAGCACTATACTGTTGGTAAGGTCATTTAGTTCATTCCATAGTTCTAAATTTTGATGGTTTAATTGTTTTTACATTAATAGAAAGAGTTTGGTGAATTAAACTAAAACTAAAACTCTAAATTAAAGAAATAGGAAACTAAAACTAAAACTAAAACTCTTGTACCACACAAAAACAACACTACAGTATAAGCAGTATAGCAAGAGAATTGTTGGAGTTTTATGTTTCAAATTGGTGGATTAATGAAATAATGACAAAATAAAACTTCCATTTTGCTGTATTAATCTGAGCATGCTCAAAATACTAAAATAAATAAAGTAAATAATAAGAATGCTAAAATAAAACCACCAATACAATGCAATCATAGAATCACCAGCATTAAGTACCACCAAATTTTCCCATTATACTTCAAGGGTCGATTCATTAAATTTAAAATTTACGCAATGTTTGATAATAATATTTATCACTAACCTTAGTTGTCTTTATTAATAACAGCTCTTGTATTTTTTCCTTCATTTTATTTCAGTCCTATATTTTATAATGAAACATGCAGTGATTAATAATCCACACTATTATAACAACACACTCCAACAATAGGATATATTGAAGTATTAATTCCTCCTATACATGTCATACCAACAAACAAGTATACCTTTTCTTTTTCACTAAGTATGTTTGCTAGTTGCTGAGCAGTTCCATCAAGTTCTTTCTGTCTCTATTGATTATAATAATAATCAAAAACAAATTATTATACCTTTGTATCATGAGGTTGTTCCTTCATCTCCTGTACCTCCTCTTCCAGTGGTTCCTGTATTTCCTTTATAATACAGTATATAATGATAATTATTGACAGTATATATGCACATACTTGTATCATTTCTTCCTTCCATATTGTGCAGTATCCAACAGTAAGCTTCATTAAACCATTCTTTATTAATAGTTCAAGATTCTCACTCAATTTTATAATGAGAGCTCCAGTGAGAGAGTGAGGGAAGGAGCAAGTGACAATGATGGAGTTTCCTTTCTTGATGTATTTTATTTTCACTAGTTTACCAGATGTCTTGGAAATGATTTGCTTGATATCTTGTAGTATGTGTTCATCTGGTTCCCAGTCAAAGACATACGTAACTGTTTCACATTGAAGAGAAGGACTACCTCCTAATGCTTCAAACTTCTCATTTAAACAAAGTGTAATCTTCACTGTATGACAAAACTTTTTTAATATGGCTTTGTAGTCTGTGATGTATTTTTCAGCTTTTTTGATATTGAATTCTTCCACCAGTGATTGAAGCAGCTTAATGTTGATTAACGAACACTCTTTCTCTACTACTCATAATATTTCAGTGATATTAGAACACAAAGACAGCTTTGGTTCAAGACTGCTCTTACAGCAACGAAGAAATTCCTTTACATCATCTAAAGGTGGTGGCTTGATCTTTATTATTTTATGAACATTGTATAACATTCGTGTGATATATTTAAAACTCTTTATTTGGTAACACTCGAGAAACAAGGGATAGAGAGGAAGAGAGAACAGAAAGAACAATCAAATGGAAAGAGAGAGAGTGTGTGACTGTGTGAGGAGCACGTGCTACAAAAACTATATAATAATAATGGTACATAAATAATAACACATACATGTATAACCTTATTGCTATTCACAGCAACCACATAACATAAACATTAGAATAACTACAATAATACAATAATAAGAATAATACATATATACATACATTACACTACAATTCGACCATAAGACGTTTGTATTGAAGCAAATTCAACACTCATGCATTGAGGAATGGCTATCTCAACTATTAAAATTAACAATAAATTGTATATTATTTTATGCCTACCAGTTGGTATATTAGGTGGAGTAGGTGATGGTGTAGTTGTTCCAGTGCTTAATGTATCAGTGCTCATATCATCATCAGGAATAACAACTTTAATAAGCTTCTTATCATCATTGAAGGATTGGTCTATAAAACAATTATGATCATAACTTAAGTATTAATGTAAAATGTAATAGACTCACCATAGTCTCTTTGTATAACTGTTCCTAGTTTTGCATTACCAGTGAACTTGCACAACACACTAGCAAATGT